CTTGGTAATAAATAGGATTCTACCAAAGGATAATAGTTAGTGAATGTTAATATTTTTAGTTTTCTTTTATATTGAAATGACTCATTAAAAATTAGACAGATCACTTCGAAATATTATATGTATAAAACCATACAAGCAAAATTACTGGAAATATTATACAAAAACAAAACGTNTGACTCATTAAAAATTAGACAGATCACTTCGAAATATTATATGTATAAAACCATACAAGCAAAATTACTGGAAATATTATACAAAAACAAAACGTTTAAATTAGTTCTATAATTAATAAAAATTATCTAATGTGGTTAAAATTATAAGTTTATCCTCAACGTTATGAATTATCACAAAAAAAAAAAAACATAAAATTTTAAATCAATTAAAAAAAATTGTAGTTTTGGCTAGATAAATATTGATTACAGACAGATTATACGCTGAGGACCCCCTTTGCCTTAATATTTGAGGTAATGAGTTTTCTGAATATTCATATAAAATCGCTCGTAAATCGAAAACGGTCGTATATGTTTTATATAACATATTGCGTAGCAGTATTTTGTATAAGAATGCATTTATTTTTTACATAATGAGGAATTATTATTAGCATTTATAGGCATTTTGTTATTATCTGAAATTAATAAGTGTTATAATTATTTTTATTTTTTATTCTATACTATTCAACACTTAAATGATAAATAGGGTCGTATTTATCAGGATTGTTTCTTAATTTCGCAAATGAGTTTAATGAGGAGAACACGCCGCTGTATAGTACTCGGTAGGGGACACGTAGTGATCCACGCTGAAGGGAACTCGTTTGGACATGTAGTCTCGTCACTCGTACTATAATTAGTGGGCACGCAATAAGGCTCAAGTGGCATGAACGACGTCAATCGAGGGGACCACGTACGTCATGATACTTTGAATTCACCACTAACGCTCACTTGGATTACATACCACTTGTGTGACGTCATTGCTTTCATACGATCGGCTAGGGTTGCGTTCGAAAGTGACGTCATTACTAAAGCCCTATCACCTAACCACTATTCCACTTTCACATATCACTTTCATTTGGTCACATGATTGAGGACCAGAACCTGCCCGACATATAGAATAAACTGTGGTAAGAGTCCAATAGTGAAATAAATAATTTTATTTTATAGTTATGAACCAATGATTGATGAATATTATATTTTGGACCATTTTTACACGTTTTTTAATAGTAATAAAATGATCGAACTTAAGTTTAATATAATATATTATGTAAAGATTATACATTTTTTCATAATTTTGTGTCATATTTAACCCTTGAAGATACTATTTAAAAAGATCTAGTTAAAAAGTTATTTATTTATCAATTTGTTTATTAAAAGTTAGTCAATATTTACTGGACTCTTAACTCACTGATAGGGTTAAGTACGCGCTTTTATTTTTCATTTTATTTCAGTTTATTACTCATTAATTATCACAGTTAATGTTAATTTGTATTTTTTGATATTTGTCTAGTTGAAAAAAAATTAATTTATATATATCCTTATACTACAAATTATAAACGATAGAAAAAAAGAGCGCACTCTTACCCCAAGTTACTTTACTACTTTTATTTAGTGTAATTTATATTTATAAATGTATTCAACTTATTTATAGATTAATATATTAATATTTAAAAATCGATAATTAGGCAAAAAATTAGTCATTTTTATATAGGAAACTTTTATATGACTCATAAGTAGCGTTAAAAAGGACTTTATTGTCTAAGACCTACACGTTTATACATTAGCAACAAAATAGTAAGAAATAAAAAATTAATGATTTTTTCATTTTTGAAATTATAAAAATCGTAACTTCCCTAATTTTAATACTTACAATTACTACATTCATATAAATATAACCCACTTTACTCTATTATTTCAGTTCGTTATATGATTTCTAATAAATCTAATAAAATAATTGAAAATAAAGTAATTTGCCAAATAACATTATTTGGAATTTATATTCTCAATAATGATATTATTTCATGAAATTAATTTTTATAGTATTTATGATTCAATAAAAGAAAATAATTATTTTATCACAAAAAAAATTGATAAAAATATAAATAACATTTTATTATAGAAAATGGAAAGAAACCCAAAGTATGCAATTCATGTCAATATAGTAGGGGGGAAATAGACAGCACATATTGTAACGTACACTTGTTTTGCTCGGTATGCAAAAAAAATGCAATGGAAGCTAATCCAGAATGCGTACTTTGTCAATGTGATAAACTTAAGTTAGTATTATTATTATTTCCTATATATTTTATACTAAGGAACTGACTAATGATACGTTTGGTAATAATATTAAATTATTCTACCGCCTTCAAGATTACATTTAATCTTTTAATTTCTAACAATTACATTGTTAGAACAATAAATAGTTTCATTACACAATTTAACTAAAAAATAGTTCTATCATACTATTAAATAATCTTACTATTATAAATTTCCTTTTTGTAAGAAATATTAATAATTTAATTTTCTCCATCATTTTTTTTATTAAAATGATTATACCCGCATAATCAAACTTATCATAATCTACGCAGCACCATAAATGAAACTCATCTTTAGAGGGAAATGTAGTTGACTTTGAATCTAGTTTAAAAGCTACTATATAGGTTAATTATCGAGATTTAAAAAAATTGTATGGAATTAAAATTTCCATAGGCAAATTTTTGAAACTATATGAGTATAAACATGAGTATAAATATTCATTGAGATAAACACAAATTAAATTACTTCATTAAATGTGTGTTTAATTGTTTTTAATTTGTATTTTTTTATAGCGTATAACAAGCCTAACTGCAATACAGATTGAATCATTACATTTTATTTGATACATCATGTAAATTAACATAAATTTATTTACAAATTCAAAAAAAAAGTTTAAATTAATTCATTAACAGTAAAAAAGTGTTATTCTTTCATAAAAACTAATTTTATTATAAAGGAATTATTAATAAATAAATATTTTAATATTGAAATGAATTGTTTTTATGTATGTACTTTTGACTATTAACTTATTTATTACTATTAACTTTAACAAATTATAAAACATTGTTTTTTTTCAAACATTTATTTTATACATAGACAACAAAAAACATATTAGGAATGTTGTTTGAATAATATTATTATTATTTAATTATGTTTATTATCCTTACTAAAAGCTATGGCTTTTGTCAGACAAATCGAGAAAACCTTATTTACTCAATAGTACGTCAATGCATCACAAAACGTATCTATTTGAAGCAATCAGTACCATAAATTTCAAAAATCCCCCTCAATCCCCGTAATAAATGGAAATGTTTCAAAAAATTACAATTCATATAAAACAAATAATGTTGATATTTTAGCTTTCACTATATTGATATTAGGTTCCACTTAGCAGATGATCCATTCCAGTTCTTGGGGTCCTACGGGCCATCCTTATGGGTAAATTCCGGTAAAAGTACACGAATAGTATTACTTCAAAATCAGTATAACAAAAATGTTGTAAACATTTAATTATTGAAATGAGTAAAATTTAATAAGTATACAATTTACATTAGGTTCTGAGGCCATCACAATAATATAATAACAGTTAAATTTTAACGCTATCGTTGGTACCAAAAATATTAATAAAATTGTGTTGTGAAGTTATAGGCTATAATGTGTGTAATTGAATTTCATATTTATATCTAACTCCAATTAATCAATTATACTCTACATGTTATACTATAAATATATTATAATATTAGTACCCGAAAAAATACAGATAATAAAAACATATCCCTATTACATAATATCATTGGATTCTGATGTAATATTATATGACTGTAAAAAAAAAAAAAAAAATGAGTATTCAAAAATTACTTAATAATACCCTTAACAGACACAAAAAAAAACACATCATAGTAAAACCAATACTTTCTTAGCTTCGCATCGAAGCTAAAATGGTCAATGAAACCGAATTACTCAGTAAAATAAAATAAAATCAAATTCACAGAAGGAAAATATATGTATATCAAAAATGACATCAAAAATAAATGTTAAATATATAAAACAGTATTAATAATTGAGTTATGGTCAAGGATTCAATAGGTAATATTTAGAGAATGTTTAAAATAATAAAGATGACTACATAACTCATAAAAAGAAACTGACACGGCCCGCGTCGCTTCGTTATTCACGATGCCCCGCGACTCGTGCCACCTTTATCAGTCATCGCCCTATTTTATGAGTATTTGACTGACCAACGCCGCGTGTTATACACTACGGTGCAAAGTCCAGCAAATGCCACACGGCCGACGACGACCCGTCGCAAATGGTGCAGCAGTCTTCTCCCCGTTGTGAAAGCGACAACGACGACTAACCGATCCGCACCGTCGCCTACAACGCTGCCAACCTTTTGTCGCCTACAACGCTGCCAACCTTTTGTCGCCCAAGGATCACGCCGGACATCGCGTCGTCGACGCCAGCGAAAGTGCCGCGATATTATGCGAAGATTGTTATTACTGTGTTTATCTTTTCGGTTTGTTTTATTTTTTGTTAACATAATCTGTTGTCGCTCATTTAATAAACGGCCCACGGGTCTCTATCCTCAAAACCAGTGTCGACCACATTTTTGCGACGTAAGTCGTGTCAAAACATATAAATTAAAATATATCCATTTAATATTTTTTCAATATTATTTTGAATGCTAGTAAGCATTTAGTTCACTTAAATGTAGGATATATAGTGTGATTTAGCATAATAATGTACAGCCAGCTGTTTACAGACGGTCATACATTCCCAAACGGCCCATATATTTTCTCAAAAAAGTAATAATTATTACAATATGCAGATAGTATTCATATAAGAACAAACAAGCAGATATTAAAATATTAACTGAATAGAAAGAAACTCATTCGAATGAAGTATATTAATTTTCAATGTCATAAATATAATACTAAGTAATAATTTACTTAATTAATCATCAATGTAAACCTAAACAAAATAATAAAAGCTTGAGCATGACAGATCAAATGCTTGTGCCAGGGTATAATGGACATGTCACAATGTCAATGGGTATACTCTACATAATGTGGAGGGCACATTTAGATGTTCATCATGTCTACCCTGATTACATCAGAGGTACCGTCAGTTCATGGAAAGGTAGGAAGGAAGAAAGAAAAAATATATAAGGATCGACCATTAGACATAATATAAAATGTATAGTTAAACCGTATACTGCAACTATATAGTCTTTTACTATTATTCACAAACAAACCACTTGGTCAGACAACCAATAATCAGAATTATTTAAAATATTAAAATACACACACTGTGAAAAAGATAAAATACCACATTATAATAAAATGTTTAGATGTCCAAGAAATCATTTTGATTGTGATTTGGTGACATTATTATGCCCAAGCAAAATAAAGAGTTTTTACTCCTCCATCTTTGATTCGTAATACTGTCAACAAGTGAGGTTGACAAAGATGTGATGGACTTTTCAAACATAACTGTACAGTTTCCCATTTCATAGCCGCCTTATTTTTACAAGGTAGAGGGTAAGGGACAGTGTGACCAGTGTTGATTGATTGTTAATATTATAATAACATTGTATTTAAGATATTATTTTTGTCATATAGTTTGTATAAATAACATTCATATTTTCATAATTCTTAATTTTTTTTAACACAAATATAAAAATAATTGTACGCTCTTATGATTTTTTTAGAATAGGGTAAAAATATTTATAAATATTTGTTAAAAACAAAATAAGTAATACATATAATAAAATAAGTGCTGGTAGTTTTTATTAATTTTATAATAGGAAAAAATATTGTATTTGTACCATATCTAATAAAAACTATTTAATAAATTTTATTATAAAATTATTATTTAAAACATAATTAAATAAATTCTAACATAAATTAATGGAAATAACAAAACGATTTAACAGTTTTGCCATTAAATCAATGATTATATCATAATCACAATTTATTTTTAGTATTAAATTGTTAAAACTTAATATATGTATGATCTATTTTTTAAATTAATTTTGTTTTTTTGGGCTACAGTAGTAATGCTTAAAAATTATTTTAAAAACAAATTGGCTGTTGAAATTATGAAATTTGAAAATAAGTAGTTTAATAATGAAGTTTCATTATTTACAAATTATTATTTTTTATATTCAAAGTATTTAAAAATGTAAAAAAGAGGAATCTACCAAAGGATTATAGATGTCATACATTAGTGAATTTTAATATTTTTAGTTTTCTTTTATATTGAAATGACTTATTAAAAATTAGACAGATCACTTCGAAACATTATATGTATTAAACCATACAAGCAAAATTACTGTAAATATTATATAAAAACAAAACGCTGTCTTTAAATTAGTTCTATAATTAATAAAAATTATCTAATGTGGATGCTTATAATTTTGGCGAGATATTTTTTTTGAAAATTTCTATACATATCAAATTAGTTGTAACTAAATTCTATTATTAGAAACATTTGAACAAATGTGGTTAGACCACGTTTGTTCGTTTATATTTAAATTTATATTTTTACTATTACATAGATATAGGGTAAATCTTTAACTATGCCTCACAAAATATCTTTAAAAGTATTAGAGTTAATCATATTTTATTTTTTTAACAATAATGGATCCGTTGTTTAGCTTTGAAAATTATTTTCTGCTATGATTTTTTATAAATGGCAACTTATAAAATGGCAACACCAATTTTTTATTAAAGACAACATCTTTATTAAGTCTTTTACAAAATGTATAATATTTTACCTCAATCATAAAACCTACTTTAATTTCTGTTATTGAGAAAATACATTAAATGATTTAGTAATTTGTTAACAAATTGTTAAGATACATGCTGAAATAAATATATTAAACAAATTTAAAAAATACATTTTTATTTTAGTTTTTTTCAAAAGTCGTTTTGGTGTCATAAAAATCAATATTATTTTAATTTTTATATAAATACTGACTCAAATTTTTTTTATTTAATAGCAACTTTTTAAGCATTTACAATTAAGTTTTGACTTAGGAAGACATTTTAAATTACCTTATTGTTAATAAAACACACAAAATATGGTTTGTATTATGCATATTAAATTAGTACATTCTGTTAAATAAAAATATAATTTCTATATTTTTTTTAGAAATCAAAATTTATATTTTTAAACTTTGTGGTCTTCTGCTGTATTCTTTCTGATGGTATACAATGTTATAATTAATTACTTATAAATAACAAAAAACAAATTAATTTATATTTTGAACTACTATTAAAACATATTTTTTGGTTATCATTTAGTTATATCAACGAATCATTTCGATCGATATCAAGGTATTAAATTTAAGTATTTATGTTACAATTCCATTTTTATTTAATAAAAATGCACCCTTATCATTATTTTCAATTTTAAGTTTTAATAATGTCAAAAAAGATGATTTAATATTGTAACTATAGTTTTAATAATAAATCTCTTTATGACATTCAATAAACTAGTAATAAGTATTCTATAAATGTTAACTCAACATACATTTTTTGAAAATCCTATCTTTTATATTAAAGGTAGTTATAATACATTTTAAAATTGTATGCCAATCGAATTTACAAATGCGTAAATCTAGTATAAATAGAACCAATCAAATTGTTAATTTTACGTGAAAGATTGAAATTTAACAATTTAATATTTGTAAAAAATGCGAAAGATATTAAAGAACATTACAGTCCATAATAATATAATTGTAATTATAGAGGAATAAGTTATTTAAAACAGCTAAATTCAAGGTTAGATGAGTAAACACGTTTTTTTAAGTAAAGGGCATTTTAGAAATACTACGTCATTTTAAATTAAAAGATAATCTTATGTGTCTTTAAATAAAATAATATAGATAAAATGTTTAACTTTATTTTATTTCATTAGTAATAAATCAAAAATTAACGTTATTTGAGTTAAAAATGAAATTCGTTAAATTTAAAGTTGAATCCTCCTAAAAATAACGAGTAATTATTATCCAGGTACTAATTACTGTCGCAAAAATTTAAAGAGGGACAAAGACTAACAGAAAAACACTTTTCCTTTATTAAACAGGACCTCTTAAAGCAAAGTTTTTTGCTTTGAGAAGTGGTAGCATTATTTTTATTGTTTAAATAATATTTGTTGCAAATTGTTGTAATACACTCGCTACAATCATGAAATAAAATAACAATGAGTGGCCTGTTTAGATTTACTAAGTTTATCGTTCATACAGATATTTTTACAGAAAATACTAAAATTCTGACAATCAATTTTATTTATGTTCTTCATCAAATATACAAACACGATCTTGTAAACCTACAATTTAAATAAATCGGTGATTTTTATATTTTATGAAAAACATCTAACAAATAAATACTGTATTTTTTTATTCATGATTTACTCGTGTATCAATAAAATTAATTTTGTTAAGTTGAACATAATGTTCACTAATACAATCTCTTTTCACCAAAACAACATACTGATCAGCCTTATTTATTTATTATATACCAAACAAAGAACACTATAATACAGAATAATCGGTCTGTCATAAACCATTCGATTACTCTAAAATAAATACAATAATGAAAAAAAATTATTATTTTTTAATTACATATATTTTTTTATTTATTTGATAATAATTACTTTTTATAAACATCCCTTGTAACTCAAAAGACTGTAAACTTCTTTTAAATTACAACATACATATTTGACTAGCTTATAAAATAGAAAATAATCTAATTAATAAAATTACTAGCCGATAACAACTTTTGAACTTGTATATTCTGTTTTTCATTAGCCATTTATTATCCGCCTAGGTATAGAAATGAGAATAAATGAGACCCTTCAAACTTATTTAGGTACATCTAAAATTAAGATGTAAAAAAAATAATATGACAGATCAGAGTGATCGGTTTATCAAAACTAATTCTATTACTCTCAAAATAAATACAGTATTGAAAAAAAAATGTTCGATTTCTTTTAGTTACATATATTTTTTGATTCATCAGCTAATAATCATTTTTTTAAAATAATCCCTTATAAATCATCCCCATTTTTCCAACTTTAGTCATTACTTTAAATTCTTAATAACTTCTGAAATACTGGTCCAAAAGTTGTTATCGACCAGTCTAATTTTCTTAAGTATTAATTAGATTATTTCCTATTTTAAAAACTAGTTATAGATGTATGTTGCAATTAAAAGAAATAAAGTTAACTTTCCTTTAAGTTATAAAGGATGATTTAAAAAGTGATTATTAGTTGATATATCAAAAAATGTATATAACTAAAAAACCAAAATTTTTTTTCAATATTGTATTTTTGAGAGTAATCGAATAACTTATGATAAACCCATCACTTTTCATAGCTCATAAACATATTATGCTAATTCACATCGTCAATGAATGAATTGTATTTACAATTGTATTATAATTTAATTACAATTCATATTTGTTATTGTGATGAATGTCTGCAGATAAACATAGTTCAACAATAATATTTTGTACTCGTTTTGCAAATGTATCAATAAAAATCGTCTTATTGTTATTAGAAACCGTTAATGATGGCTTTGGGATAACAAACTTAAAAAAATAGAAGAATACCTTACAATCTGTATAATAATTAGATTTTGTTTGATAGCTATCTGGTATTTTCATGTTAGAAAAAAAGAATCCTGCTTTGATGATCTTGTATATTTATAATATGTGACATATTACAGTCTTTATAATTATATTTATATAATGAGCTGTGTTTTTATTAATTATTTTTATTTTATTATATTTAAACTTAATTATCTTTATGTTAAAATTTTCTTTATCTCTAAAATTATGCAATTCTATGAAGTGAGTGTTCATACTGCTTCTGGTGTTTTTGATTAATTTCTAATTAACATTAACGGATATAATTTAATACCGCCTGTATTATTCGATTTTTTTTGCTGTTAGTCTTTCTATTATAGTTTTGGTACATTTGTATTTTTGCCAATGTGAAACTTAGTTTTTATTTTTTAACAATTGAATTATAATTTATTAATTTTCTTATTAACCTTAATTTTAAAATTTATTTATATTGTGCGAGTACCTCAAGTACTCACGTATCCTCTTAACACGGATTAGGGTATGTTTTACTATCAAAACCACTTCATTTATTTCAGCCGTGGTTAATAAACCACATTGCATTGTAATAAAATATATTTAATGACAAATAACTAAAATCGAATATTTAATTAACATTAAAAATAAATGCCCTCAATAGTAATCATAACTAACATGTATGATACCTCATCTATATGTAGATAACCCTTTCTCTTGTAATTAGTTAGTATGGAAGAGACAAACTACGTTATTGCTGAAGTCATCAAAGTTTGTCCACTTGCAACTTTTTAATTCATTATATATGATGTCCATTAAGGTGGTCCTTATTTTTCGAATTTCGAAATTTCTTTCGGGACACCCTAATGTGCATGAAACATACCAAGTTTTAAGATGTTTAACAATATAAAGATATAGTTTGTCATACAACTTTAAAATATCATTTCAATTATACCGAGTGATTATTTTGACGTTAGTCAATCGATTTCCCCTTAAAATAATAATTACTTAGAGAAAATAATGTAATAATTAAATTTGTAAATAATTGAATTTTCAAAGTAATATAAAACAATATTAAATCTAATGTCTAGAGGATTTAATCTCTATCAAAACGAAAAATATTATTATGTTACTATAAACAACAAAAATGAGTACAAATTTGAAAATTTTTACAATAGCTCAAATGAAATGTATAATTAATGTATTACATATAAACTAATTTAATAATATAAAAATTGAATAATTTATGAAATTAAAAAAAAACCAAAATAATTTTCTAGTTATTTTATGAGATATCAATTAATTAACATTACAAGAATCATCTTTTATAATATATAGTTAACATTTTTTAATTTAAGATAGTTATTTGAATATTGAGAATCTCGATGAAGACACAAGTAAGAAAATAACTTATGAATAAGTGAATAATTAAATTTTAATAAATAATTTTTTATAGTTGCAGCAATAATAAATTCACGTAAGTAAAAGATATTTGTATGTAATATAAAAAGGCTATTGTATAAAATAAGTTCAATATTTATAAACTATGTGCAATGATTTATTAAGTAATACTATCAAATAAATTAATAAAAAAACAATAATAATTAAATCAGTTTTTATGAAAGATAATTAGTATACATTTTTTTAAAGGACAAGTTCCTGCTTTTAAAATTCCTAGATAAATAATTCAATATTTTAAAACACATTACCATAATTATATTTATCAATAAACATTAAAAAAAATTATTTTTGATCATATATAAATGATATTATATAAATTTAACAAATAAAATATTAAAAATAATATCTTATTTTAGTTTAAATGTGAAGTTTTTAATTTTGAATAATGATTTTGTTAGAGAAGCTTTTTCTTAAATATTTTTGTTGATAAATTTACTCTCAATGTTTATATTGGTTACACATTCTATAAAAGCCATAAATGCTTTATCTTAGGATTATTATAGTTATTATAAAAATGTATTCAATTTTACAAATATTTATATTATCGAAAATATTTTCCTTATTATACATAATGTATGCAATAATCTTAAATTTTTATTGAAAATTAAAGCACATAGTGACACACTGGGTTCTATAATACTAAATAGAAAATACATTATCTACTACATTTTTAGGGAAATCAAAATAAAAATTGGAAATTTTTTTTAAATAATGTGTTATTGATGGTAAGAGGAGTACCATCAATAACATGTATAATAATCTTAGATTGCATTAATGACATGTAGTGAAGGCTAATGTTTAGCTATTTATCCAATAACATTCACATTTGTTTCGAATCGTTTTATAATAATGTTTCAGATAATTATTATTAACATTTTTTTAAGAGCAAATTAATGCTTCTAAAATTTTGTTTGCAGAAAATCTAATAATTTGATAAAAATTAAATATATATATATATATATATTAATCGTTTATGCGACAGTCTTTTTTATTACAATTAGAATCTACATTAGTATTATATTAGTTGAATTGAAACTGTAGTTTGTGATTTTCTTTTTATAGTTGAATTGAATCAAAAAGAGACAAAGGGTAATTTTTTAATTTATTTTGAATTTATAATCTTTATTATTTTAATTATTTAATAACTATCAAATTTAATATTTTTCTTAAATATAATTCTTGTAGAAAATAAACTATTAAAACAACATCAAAGAAAAATAATTTAATAAATTTATTTGTTAATAATTGATTTTTCAGAATAATAAAATAATGTAAAATAAAACTAAATCTTTATTATATTATTAAGCTATGTTTTAAACAATTATTTTTAATTTGTTTTATTTAAACTTAATTATCTTTATGTAAGAATATTCTTTATCTCTAAAAATATATAATGTAATAAAGTGAGTGTTAGTACTGCTTTTAGTGTCTTTAATTATTTCTAATATTTTAATAAATTAATTAAAATATTAGAAATAATTATAATTAACGGATGTTATCCAATGCCGTCAGTATTATTTTTTATTTTATTTTATTTTGTTGTCAGTCTTTCTTATTATGATAGGTTTTGATATATTCGTATATTTTTCAATGTGTAACTTGGTTATTATTTTTTAACAAATAAATTAAATTTTCAGATTAACTTTAATTTAAAATTTTTTTTATATTAAATTATTTCTTAACTATTATTTTAAGAGAAATAGATTGATTGACGTAAAAATAATTATACTCTATATTCCATATTATAATATTTATTTACATTTTTTTAATTTAAGATGATTATTCGATAAACCAAGAAGATTTGGGTAAGGAAACAACTTATGAAAGAGTGATCAATTAAGTTCTAACATATTTTTTTTGTAGATATTGCACTAAAAGCTTCACGTAAGTCAAAAGTCATGTGGCAGTTGTTATAATAAAATAGTATTGTATAAAAAGAGTTAAATATTTAGCAATTATATGCAATGATTTATTAAGTAATGCTTTCAACCAAATTAATAAAAAAACAATAATAAATAAAATAAATTTTTATAAAAGATAATAAATTTTAGTTTTTTTTAAAGAGCATATTCGCTTCTAAAAATTTGTTTGTAAAAATCTAATAATTAAAATAGAAATAAATGTATATATTTTTTTTACTTTGTTTTGCATTGTTTTTTTAATACTGTTTTTAATCCCTAATATTTTTTTCTAAATTAATTTTAATTTAGTTGCAACTGTAATTTGAGTTTTTCTTTTTGATAGTTGAAACAAATCGTCGTGTGACAAATGGTAATTTTTAAATTTATGTTATATTTATAATGGTTATTATTTTATTTATTTTAAAATTATCGAATTCATCACTTTTCTGTATTANTTTTTTTTAATTATCGGATTCATCATTTTTCTGTATTATATTTATTGCCAAAAAAAATTATTGATATAAAAACAAATAAAGCATTATCAATAATATTCATAAATATTATATATTGCTTAAATATAATATTAAAGTTTTATCTAAAATTAAATTAAATTTTAGCAAATTATGACTATATATCAAAGTATAATTACTTTGAAATTTACATGCAATTATTTTAGTATAATGTTTTTTGGAACTTTATTTTTATCTTGAACTGTATTGTTTTAATTATTTTATAATTATCAAATACATAGAAATAAAATATTTTTTTGTTATTTATTAATAACAATAACAATTACAAAATACTAAAATACAATTAAATATTTCTTGAAAATTAGATCAATTGCTTATTTATTAAGTTTATTAACCTGACACGGCACCGCGCCATGTTCTAGGCTGGAGCTCGACCGCGCCTCACTCAATTTCAGACGTCCACCTATTAATATGACAATGGGTTGTCATTGTGTGTCTCCCCGCCCATGACACCGTGATAAGGTCGCCGCCGAATATGTATCACTGATAATGCGTTTTGTTCCGTTTCCGACGTACACCTTAACTGGTTGCTCGATTCTGTTGCTTTGTTTTTTCTGCCTTTTGGTTTGTTTTTATAACGTTTTCGTTATCTGTTCCGCGACCTTTTTTCCTACGCCTTATACGGATAGTCTTAGCCTACAATTGTGCTGTGTCATAAGTGTTGGTGTTATTTTAAAATCGCTACAGCGAACTAACTATATATATATATATTAATATTTAAATATTGGGTACATTTTGTACACGCTCAACCGTATACTGAATACGCGTCAAGTGACTCCGCGTAAAGAGGAATCATAACCGACCCAGAGAAGTTAAGGTAAGAGGCTTTGAGCCGATTCAGTTTTATTTCTAATTATATAAGAAATTAATTATATTCGATTTTAGTTTGAACTTGGAACGGTGAAGTCTCCCTTACAATATTTTTTTTTTGTTCATATAGTTATTTGAATGAATTTCACTGGTGACAGCAGTGAATTTTTATCTGCGTTGCTCGCAGTAACGCGCTAGCTGGATTAGATTTAGCTTCGCTTCTGGGAAATATTTATAAAAATATAGTTTGAGTAGTTTATATAATGCTGCCGCTGTAAATATTGTCCTTGGATAGTGTTGGTTACAGTATTATTATTATAAAGACCTTATCGATATCGACGAAAGTGAATTCCCGGCCGATAATCACAGTCCACTGATAGATAAAAATAGTATACTTTCGTCCGACCTTGTCAAAGTGGCCGATTCCTAGGTAACTGTTATTATTAATGTTCATTCGGTGCCTTATCATAAACGGCGGACCCGTACCAACTTATCGCGGATACTCTACAACAACAACAGCAATAATAATAACACTTATTTTCTACATCAATAGCAAATTTGACCGTAACATTTAGATTGTTAATAGGGCAGTCAACGAATGAGTAATTTTGGCGAATGGCGGAATAAATTCCCAACAAAATTTTTTTCTTTTTTAAAGTTGAATTAAGATATATATAATGACATACTAAAAGTCCTCATCGATTTGGAATTGAGCTTTTTTTTTTACAGCCTCGCAAAAGTTAAAAAATATGAGCTTTTTCAATTTTCTCAAAAAATATTTAACTTACAAAAAAAAGTTTCGTACAAAAGTTGTTTAAAAGACAATTTTAAACAAAAAAGGTATCTTATATTTTTTAATTTAAACAAATATTTTTCGAGTTACATTACAATTAATATGAGTACTAAAATTTATTCTTCAATTTTTTTCATTTTACGGTTACTTTTTATCATGTTATACTTACATTAAACACAATGTTACACATCATAGCTGGTCATACTACATTGTTGTAGAATTTACCTTTTAGCCTCATTGGAATTCTTCTATCGCATATGACACCAGACGCTTCTCTCTACTTCAACCACCCGCACTTAATCCTGTGTCTTACATTCTCGTCAATACCACCGCTCTTTTGCTTTACTGATCCTAAATACTTGAAACTTTCTACCTCCCCATTGACAGTCCGCTTATTGTCACTGATCTCCTCCTTTCATCTACCTCATGTTCTCTTTTGTCAACCCAGTCAGAATTTCTGGTAATGATAAAATTAATTGTCATAAAGTGTCTAAAATTGGTCTTGTTCAAGTAGACTCAATGGTGGATAATAACTTTCATGAAATAAATCTTAAAAGGTCAAATAAAATTATAACTGTATCTTCAATAACTTCTATTGTTAAAATTAATAATGAAATAATTAAAGTAAACCCATTCCTACTATTTTAACCAATCGCTATTTAAAAAAAAAAACAGCAGTGTTCCGACACAGTGTGTATAATTGGGTGCAGTACATATGATATGTGACAATAATTAAAATCATTATCAAAAAATAACGCCTTGATGCAAATCTGTAGATAGTGTTTAATTTTAAAATTTTAATGGATTATTACAAAAGCTACATGATCTCCTATTTCCTTATTTATATCCTAAATACAAGTTATATGCATTACTAGTGCAAAGTATGTAATCGATGGAGGATTTCTCCACTATAAAGTTATTTGACAAATGTATGAAACAACATTTTTTTTCATTTTCTTATTCAGTTTCCCATTCTAAATTTTGATAGAATATATCTTCAACAAAAGTACAATTTTCTTAATCTTCAATCTTTATTTCTATTGAATTTGTATGCTATTGACCTTTGCAATATTCACATATAATAGAACATTTAAGCCCTTTTTTTCGGCAGCCACAATTTTTACCAGCTCAGCACCTGACTAAAGGCCGTTTTATGACAATTATCTTTATTATTAGCAGAAATTTCGGTGGCAATCGACATAATATATTTGTTGTTTGAAAATGTACAATTTAGCGTTTAATTGGGTTTAAACAATATAGCGTTAAATCTATTACCTACTCTATCGGTTGTATCTTAATATACAGTACACTTTAATGATACTATAAATAAATAAACTCACACATATGCATTTATAACATTGTGTCTAATGTAAGTATAACATGATAAAAAGTAACCGTAAAATGAAAAAAATTGAAAAATAAATTTTAGTACTCATATTAAATGTAATGTAACTCGAAAATATTTGTTTAAATTAAAAAATATAAGTTACCTTTTTTGTTTAAAATTGTCTTTAAAACAACTTTTGTACGAAACTTTTTTTTGTAAGTTAAATATTTGTTGAGAAAATTGAAAAAGCTCATATTTTTTAACTTTTGCGAGGCTGTTAAAAAGAAAGCTCAATTCCAAATCGATGAGGACTTTTAGTATGTCATACATATCTTAATTCAACTTAAAAAAAGAAAAAAATTTGGCTGGGAATTTTTCCTTCGTTGACTGGCCTATAAGGTTTGTAAATAAATATAATATTTACGGTCAATATGTCGGGGAAATCTTTTGCACAAATTAATTGCGCTGAATTATGTCGCTAATGCGCTTTTAGACAGCTACTATGTTACGCGACAAAACCCTACATGCTAATTATGCTAGAGGAAAATCTACATAGCAAAGGGAGGAACCAACACCGAAATTTTACCGCCTCGTACGCCGCCGCTCGATAGCGAAATTGCGTTCCGCGAATCCGAAGTGCGGGTTTTCGACAACTCTACAGACCGTATCAGCGAAGAATAGATCAACGCGAAGAATCAGCGGCCCGCCTTTATCGGAGGAACATTCGCTGAACCTCGCGCTTCACACATCAGACAACGAATCTGATGTCCATCAACCGGGGAAAATACGCGCGCAAGCGAACAACTAGACGCAAATCGACGAAAAACGAACCTGTTAGTAGCAACTGACTGTTTCAGTCGCTGGACCGAAGCGTACCGATAGGCGCAGCGAATACAAAAACGACTGTAGACACGCTCGAACGTGAATTTTTCTCACGTTTTGGTTACCCCCGCGTATTTCTTTGTGAAAACGGACGAAATCTGGTTTCTAACAAAATTACTAACGCGATAAATAGACAGGGGGTAGCCTGGAACACACCTATTTATCATCCGCGCGCAAAACCCGGCAGAACGGAAAAATCAGGAGCTAAAAAAGGCACTACTGGTAGAGGGCAACCATATCACCTGGGATACTAAAATACCGTCAATAATACTATTTGCGTTGCGTAACCGTCCTAATGAAAAAACCAGTTATCCACCTTCCGTACTCATACTCGGTCATGTGGTGGAAACGACCTGCTGACTGGGCCGTCGTACATGTAATCACGGCGACTGCCGACAATGTAAACAATAGGCCGGCAAAATAACAGATAATATTGCGACGAGCACGTAGTAAAACATTTTACGGTCAGTCGTGGTGTATTTATAAAGCACATCATTTATCCAACAAACAAAAAAAATTTTGTGCCGGCTTCGCACCGAAATAGTGGGGTCCCGTCAGAATAGCGGAAAATGTGGGCAAAGGGGTGTTCCTAACGGACCAAACCCCCCACGCAAACTTCACGTGTCATGTTTGAAATAAAAATAACTAACATAAATTACAAATTTCGGTCCGAGTACGGGCCGTCGTCAATGTATAGTAGTGTAGATTGGCGGTTTTGATTTTCAGCATGTCAAGCCACAGAAATTACGACGATACTGCACGCGAGCGTGAGGAGCTCGTGCACGATCTCCTCCGCCGGTTGACGGAGGCGCTCGGTGTCCCGCTGGCTCACGCTCCGGCGATTCTAGTGTCAGCAGAGGCGGCTAGGGACGATCCACTACATCGGATCCTAAGGGATCCGATTGCGAGTGTGATTTATAATCGTGGGATGAGGGACGGACGGGCGGCTACTCTCCGCGAGACATGGAGAGACCTTGCCACTGTGCCGGTGTTCCCGCCGGGAGAGGGTGCTGTCTCCCCTCCACAGCGCCCGGCTACCACTCCCGCAGTGGTGCAACGACTAGTGGCCCGACGGCGTCGGACCGCCGACCGTCCCGCACCTGTTCCCTACGCCTGGGACAGAGCGACCGACGTGGCGAGCTCGTTCTCCGGGACGAGCTCGGCCACCCGGCCAACGCCGGCACACCCGGACTATAAGAAGCAGCTTACTCCTTCCGACGTACGTCGGAGGGAGCGGATTAATCGTGCCTTCGATCAGAGGAAAGACCGCGAAAGAGAGGCGGCAAGAAGTCAGTCGATGGCCCCAGTTCGACCCACACCAATATCTAGGACTCGTCAACCCACACTTTCAGAGATTGTCTGTTCCGCCCACACACAAGGGACTGAATCAGCCTCGACATCGGAATTGGCGCCGATAGAGGTCGATGAGACCGTGGACGACCTGGGCCATGCAGTGGAAGATTTCCCGGCAGAAATTGCTTCTCCCCATCCTCCTCCTCGCTCTCCTCTTGATGACCCTCGTCTCGAATAATCGTCCTCCTCCCTCTCCACAGTCCTTACTTCATCCGTAGGTTACGGATAACGGGACCATTTTTTTTTCTCGGTCCGCTAGAGAAAAAAAAAACAACGGACCGAATGTTCCACTCTCCCTTGCCAAAAAGACTGACTATTTCAGTCTTATACGGCAAGTCTTAAACACAAGATCAGTTACTCACACCAGGAAGATGGCGGTAAATCGACAATTGTTATTACTAATGACAATTGTTTTATGTTTGCGACCATTTGTTTACAGAGATCGGCCTGGTCAAGAGATAGACTAACGGTTTGGTGTGGGGAGCTTAATTATTTGGAGCAAATTAATGCTTCTAAAATTTTGTTTAAATTAAATCATAGTGTGACAAATGGTAATTTTTTAATTTATTATTAATTTATAATCATTATTATTTTAATTATTTAATAACTATCAAATTTAACATTTTTTTTAAAAATATAATTCTTGTAAAAAATAAATTATAGAAACAACATCAAAGAAAAATAATTTAATAAATTAAATTGTTAATAATTGATTTTTCAGAATAATAAAATAATGTAAAATAAAACTAAATCTTTATTATATTATTAAGCTATGTTTTAAACAATTATTTTTAATTTGTTTTATTTAAACTTAATTATCTTTATGTAAGAATATTCTTTATCTCTAAAAATATATAATGTAATAAAGTGAGTGTTAGTACTGCTTTTAGTGTCTTTAATTATTTCTAATATTTTAATAAATTAATTAAAATATTAGAAATAATTATAATTAACGGATGTTATCCAATGCCGTCAGTATTATTTTTTATTTTATTTTATTTTGTTGTCAGTCTTTCTTATTATGATAGGTTTTGATATATTCGTATATTTTTCAATGTGTAACTTGGTTATTATTTTTTAACAAATAAATTAAATTTTCAGATTAACTTTAATTTAAAATTTTTTTTATATTAAATTATTCCTTAACTATTATTTTAAGAGAAATAGATTGGTTGACGTAAAAATAATTATACTCTATATTCCATATTATAATATTTATTTATATTTTTTCAATTTAAGATGATTATTCGATAAACCAAGAAGATTTGGGTAAGGAAACAACTTATGAAAAAGTTATCAATTAAGTTCTAACATATTTTTTTTTGTAGAGAAAGCATTAAAAGCTTCACGTAAGTCAAAAGTCATGTGGCAGTTGTTATAATAAAATAGTATTGTATAAAAAGAGTTAAATATTTAGCAATTATATGCAATGATTTATTAAGTAATGCTTTCAACCAAATTAATAAAAAAACAATAATAAATAAAATAAATTTTTATAAAAGATAATAAATTTTAGTTTTTTTTAAAGAGCATATTCGCTTCTAAAAATTTGTTTGTAAAAATCTAATAATTAAAATAGAAATAAATGTATATATTTTTTTTACTTTGTTTTGCATTGTTTTTTTAATACTGTTTTTAATCCCTAATATTTTTTTCTAAATTAATTTTAATTTAGTTGCAACTGTAATTTGAGTTTTTCTTTTTGATAGTTGAAACAAATCGTCGTGTGACAAATGGTAATTTTTAAATTTATGTTATATTTATAATGGTTATTATTTTATTTATTTTAAAATTATCGAATTCATCACTTTTCTGTATTATAATTTTTGCCATAAAAAATTATTGAAATAAAAACAAATAAAGCATTATCAATAATATTCATAAATATTATATAGTGCTTAAATATAATATTAAAGTTTTATCTAAAATTAAATTAAATTTTAGCAAATTATGACTATATATCAAAGTATAATTACTTTGAAATTTACATGCAATTATTTTAGTATAATGTTTTTTGGAACTTAATTTTTATCTTGAACTGTATTGTTTTTATTATTTTATAATTATCAAATACATAGAAATAAAATATTTTTATGTTATTTATTAATAACAATTACAAAATACAATTAAATATTTCAAATGGTAATTTATGTTATATTTATAATGGCTATTATTTTATTTATTTTAAAATTATCAAATTCAATATTTTTCTGTATTATAATTTTTGCAAAAAAAAAAACAAATATTGAAATAAAATCAAAGAAAGCATTATGAATAATATTCTTAAATATTATGTAGTGCTTAAATATGATATTAAAGTATTATCTTTTTCGAAGATTGGATTGACGATGAACTTGATCTAGACCTAAGTAAGGAAATAACTTATGAATAAGTGAATAATTAAATTCTAATAAATTATTTTTTGTAGTTTCAGAAATAATAGCTTTACGTAAGTAAACGATATTTGTCTGTGATATAAAAAGCGTATTGTATAAAATAATTTTAATATTTATGAACTCTATTATAAAATATTATCTTGAATATCGTTGAGTTGCAACTGTAATTTGTTTTTTTTTTTTTGTAGAAGAAGTAGAAGAAACGAAAAGTAGTATGACGAATGGTAATTTTTTAATTTATGTTATATTTTTAATGACTATTATTTTATTTATTTTGTAATTATTTTTTTATTTTGTTTTAAATTATTTTTTTAATACTGTTTTTAATCCCTAATAATTTTTTTGTAAATTAATTTTAATTTGTTGCAACTGTAATTTGAGCTTTTCTTTTTGATAGTTGAAACAAATCGTGGTGTGGCAAATGGTAATTTTTAAATTAATGTTATATTTATAATGGTTATTATTTTATTTATTTTAAAATTATCGAATTCATCATTTTTCTGTATTATAACTTTTCCAAAAAAAAATATTGAAATGAAAACAAATAAAGCATTATCAATAATATTCATAAAAATTATATATTGCTTAAATATGATATTAAAGTTTTATGTAAAATTATGACTATATTTCAATGTAAAATTACTTTGAAATATACAGGCAATTATTTTAGTGTAAATATTATTGGAAATTCATATTAAATTCGTTGAGTTACAACAGTAATTTGTGTTTTTCTTTTTGATAGTTGAAATGAATAGCAGCTTGACAAATAGTAATTTTTAAATTTATGTTATATTTGTAGTTATGTGGTTATTTTATATTAATGTACTACAAAATGACTAAAACACAAAACAATAATTTTTATTAGATATAAAAGTGATTTATACAATTTATAACACAATTTATGTATAATTAAGGTTGGTATAATAAAGATTATAACAATGCGAGACTAAATTAAAACTAAATAACATTACAGTACCTCACTACGGTGTACAATTATCATATACATATATACATGCTCTCTGTAACCTATTATTCATAGTACTTAAAAATAATTTGCACTTACAAAAATCATTGACACATATTTTGACCCCGACAAATTTTTAATCACTATTATATTTTATTCTACTTTAGTTTTAATTTCGTTTAGTTACAACTGTAATTTGTGTTTTTCTTTTTGATAGCTGAAAGGAAGACAAATGGTAATTTTTAAATTTATAATCGCTATTATTTTAATTATCTTATAATTATCAAATTCAATATTTGCTGTCTCAGTCACGGATTGTTTATTATCAATTATTATTATCAATAGATATACTTTCTGTATTGTCAGTTAGTGTATTTATAAACTCATAATAATGTGCCTTACTACAATTGATAATAACAATGCTGTGTACCTGCTAATATCGATGTTATAAAAATCCAATTAGCTACCTGTATTTACAATCCCATGTGTATTATACATGTATATTAACTCAAAATTTTGAAACTTTAAATGTTTATATCTAATAAACTAATAAAGTTATACTAAAAATTCAAATTCCATTTACTATTAAATTAAAAACTCAAACATTTTATTAAATGAAAAATATGTGTTACCATTTAAAAAAACAAAGTTGACCTCCCTCCAAGGCATAAGGGATGAACTTAAAAAGTATTACATAGTTAAAAATTCAAGAATAATGTGTAACTAAAAATAATAAAAAAAAAAAATGTTTAAATTATTTGTATTCTGCAAGTAATTGTGTGGGTTATGATAAAAAAATCACCCTGTATACTATATTTCAATTATTTTCTTTCGGAGATCAAAATTCAAATTTTCTACGCTAGCGAATCTATTAAACCAGCTTACTTTTTAAATACTTTTATAGGGTTACATTCCACGCATCTCTATTCTTTTCAAGTTCTCTATTGCAATAGTCTAATTTTAACATCTATATAAAATTACGATCCAAATTAAATGTTTCATTTTAACTACATTTTTTTCTAATATTATGGTTAATATTTTTTGAAAAAGACTTAATTTTTTAATTAAATTTTACCTTGACTTGACTTATTTATTTGATTATTATTTTTTGTCACCCATAAACTGAACTTGCTGTGTTTTTTAAGTATATGAAATAATTTAATAGCTTTATATTTTTCCTCCTTTTAGATTTATTCCTGCGATATTTTCTTTACTACAGGCTAGAATTTTCATTCACATTGCGTTTATTTTTATACTTAATTCACTTTCCATTGTTTCTACATTTCTTTTTTTATTACTTCTTTACAATAATATCATTACATAACAAAATATCGTGTTATATACTATAAATTTTAATATGTAAAACTAGATGTTAATAAATTTCTTGATTGATACATTTTGTTTAATAATAAGTAAACTTATAACTTATAATATAATTGGAATTGATCACTTGAGCCTAATATTATTTAAAATATATTTAAAGTATTAATTGAAAACTAATAAATAATACAAATATTTATTAGTCTAAGTATGAGTTTAGCGCTGATGATGGTAACATTGTTTCTGAAATATACTGGAAATTATTGTATTTTTTGAATCTCTTTAAAATAAATATTTTTAGTTCCAAATTAATATTTTAAATTTTAAATTAATGTAATAACATTTGATAAAGTAATTTAGCTCATAATTTGATTATTATTTAAAAATGTTAACAGAATCTTCTTCAAATCTCACTCCGCCATCCTCCTCAAGACCTGTTCATAGTAGTGATAATGATGATGATGATGATAACGAATCAGTTGGTAAGTTAAATCAATTTTGATATTAGGTATTTCAAATATTTCATGTTATAAAAAGTTAAATATTATATAAAGGTTTTATACAATAAAATCTATAGTGACATACTACTTTTTTATTTTATTAAATAATTTTGTGTAAAATCCAAGACATATAAAAAAACAAATATAACTTCAATTTTGCACTAATTTATAAGATATTTGTTTTACATTTAATAATAAATAATTATAATTAAATAATATATTATAAATAGATTTCTTCGATAATAATACCCCAAAATTTGAAATCATCAAAATAAAGTATTAATTTTTAATAGACTACTCAAGGAATTACTAAAAATTTCTATCCTTTTTTTCTACCATAAAACTTTATTTATATGCTGTCATATTTCCTGTAAATTACTATTGATAAGTACTTTAAAATGTGTTTTTCTAAAATGCATTTGTAATTTAACTTTTAATTTTTAAAACAAAAATGTATACTTTAATTATAATATATTTTAATCACAACGTGTTTTTCTAATAAAATTAATTTAAAATAATAGAAGTTCCACTAATCAGAACAAGAACTTCCACACCTCAATCGACATCTATACCACAGCCAACTTCAAAACCTCTTTCTAAGACTTCTTCACAATCTGAATCAAATGAAAATCAAGGTAATAGTAATTCTAATATATTTCAATCAAAGTATAGTTAACATTACCTTAATAATAAAATTATCTAGATTAAGAAGAAATAAATGAGTTATAAATAAAATAAACATTACTTTTAACTTATATTAAAAATTTAGTTTAGTCTAATTTAATACTTCATTTATGATGTTGATTAAATACACTACGCAAAACACTCAAATATTCATTCATTTTCTCATTCAAAAATAACTACTTATATAAAAACATAATAATTAACAATGTAAGTGTCTATCACAATTACAATAATGTAATGTTTAGAAAGTTGTAATAATTAATACCAAAATGATCTAATATAACTTACTTTACGAATTTCAAAATTTTTTTGGAGACATCGCTCAATTTTTTTTTTTTTTTTGTATAAAAAAATTTGTGGTATGTACAAACTTTTGAAATAACTCAAACTAAAATTAGAAATACATATGAATCCGGTCTTTATTTCAAAATTATCAGGATAAACATAAATAATGTTTTATAATTGATAAATTGAGAAAAACATAAAAGTTACCAAAGAAATCCTTAAAACTGTTTTTACTTGTCGATTAATTAAGTGATAAATGAATCACTCTATATTTGTTAATTATAAAAGGCTGTATGGTTAACGGTGTATATTATTATATGCACATACAAATTATTAGGAATGGAAACATTCTATCAAGAACTGTCTCACATAAGATCTTAACTGTTTGGTCCGCACATTTTATTTCGCATGTCTATCATTCCACTCTTCTTAGCACCAGTTCCAAATCACGATGATATATAATGTTTACTGACACGGCCACGGCGTGTCACCCTTGTGACACCCACGGTCGTGTCAGCTCCTTACCGCTCCACTGCAAACCGAACCGTTACTCACACGCGTTATTGTCGTTGTGTTAAGTCCAACAAACGCCTAGCGTCATATGCTCACCGCATTAATGAGCGAGTCAGTCATTTTTGTGACACCGATAACGAGTTTTACCCTTTACGTATTTTTCTACTTTATAGTTATGAAAAATAAATTGTTTTTGACAATTTCGGAGAAAAAACCAAACTCACACTTCTATTGTCATCTTATCAATATTTTGTAAAAAAATCTTTAAGGTTACTAAAAGTAATAAAATTAGTCAACGATATCAATCCAGTGGTAGTTGAATATTAGGAATGATAGTAAACGGCACAGTGGGGTCGTGGCATAGTTGGGTCCAGTATAGATGATTAGGGTGGCCCTCAAAAATCGGATGTCTTTTTTTTTTTTACGCTACCCCTTAATTTTTTTTTAATGGTCAAAAAAATGAGCTGTGCAAAATTTGGGACCGATCCGTTAAGGTTAACCCGTGCCCCCGGGCCTATGAAGTAGAGTCGAAGAGTCAAATTTAATAGAAATAACTGATCTATGTCTCGTAACTTTTTTTTCTCTTAACTTAGAATTATAAAAGTAAAACTCAAGTAAAGGAAATTTTACAAGAAATTCAAAAATAATAACTTCAATGCTGTTTTCTCAATAAATAACCCACAAAAACACTACATACAGTAAAAAACATGTGAAAGTCTTAAAATACGTTATAACTGATTTTGTTGATTTTTAATTATTTATTTTCATTTTATTTTTTGGAAAACGCATATTCGTTTAAAAAAAGATTCTAGAAGTTTAATTTTTTATGCCAAGTACGATAATTATATTAGACTTATTATTTTATGGACAGTTAATTAATGATTAATTACAAA